CCGCTCTCGGTGTCCATAATCGCATGACCACTTCTACAGACAGAGAGAGATATATATATACATGTATATTGAGGGAGGGGAAAAAGGCCTCTATTAGTGTCTTAGGAAAATTGGTAGTTATAACCGATCAACTTTTTTCTGGCAATAAAGTAAAACTTTACGCTTTAAAATAAAAACAGAAAGCGCAATACGATAGTATTCTAATGATAAATTAAAATTTAATGATATGAAAAAATCGATGATAAATTACGATTAAATGTCGAATAAATTAGTTTGAATCTTGAATCAATTAAATTTTTTTAATTAAGAGAAGTAATTCTATTTTTAAAGCGGATCTTAGTACTTAAATATTTCAGTACAAATTTAATATATATCCAATTCTGCAAACCACGCGTCAAAATCTTTTTCAATATTAAAGCGCAATCATAAACTAGAATAGTAATATCACATATTATTAAATTGGCAAGCAATTTAATAATATCTGACAAGCAATTTAATAGTATCTGACAAGCAATTTAATAATATTGATACTAATAAGTTAGAAGGATAAATTTTAATTAAACCTTTTTAGGCGCATCGTGTAATGCAAAATCGCAAATCACAAAATTGATAACTGGTCTAGTGTATAAATAACACACATACAATTCTTCGAAAGACATGCGAAGAAAAGAAACAAGATACAGAAATTATTAAATAACCGCAAACACATACGCACACATCCGTCGCATTTTCGAAGGAGAGGTTGGCTCCACAGATTTACTGTAAAATTTAGAAGATGGAAGACTTTTGACAATCTTGATTCCAGAAAGAAACTTATAAATAAACGATGACGAGAGACATCAAACCATTGTTTGGACTGCCGCCGATTTTATTGAAGGTAGTAGTGGCCAGTGAGGCGATGAAATACTTGTAGAATTCAAATGAGAAGAATACGTTGCATCGTATCAAACAGCGTGATTAAAGTTCGAATTGATAGTCTGTAACTGACCTATAACACGGATTGAGTGTGACTGACCTTAATGACATGTAACATGTCGTTAAAATATGGTGTGTTCGCAAAACTGATCATGTGTTTTAAAAAAATATTTAGAAACTTAATTTTAAAATATTCATATTTGTATATATATGTATATAAAAATTTTTTTGTATACATTTTTTGTGTGTACCTTTGTATGTACATGTATATAAAAACTTTTTATAAAAATTTTTCCATTTATTATTGTTTATAAAAATGTATTTTCATATTTTTTATGCATTTATCTTTCCTATTTTTCTTTCTTTTTTTGCAGAGATGTTTCTCTTACAAAGATTTTCATGAAATTTTTTAAATGTTTGATCTATATTTTGCGAGTAATTATATTCTGCGAATATTCTCTGGGACGTTTTCAATGAAATATTCAATTTGACACATACATCCGCGAATTGTATCATCCATAACATGGTTACCGGTGCGAACAAGCTTTGAGTGGCGCGAGGAGTATTTCTCTCTGAGGTAGTTCACACGATTAACATAAATTGTCAAATATATTAGATGCCATCTCGCGACGAATATCAATTCGAGAAATTTGTACAACCGACGATTTAAATTATTTACTGATGAACGATTCATTATATCACTAATAGAAATTAAGTTATTTTAGGAAACTTTAAATATTTACATAACATAAATATTTATTATGTTTATTAATATTAAAACTATGAAAACAATCAAAGTGATTGATTTGTACTCACTGGTACTCACTAATTTTTTATCAAATTTATTATGGTTCATTTACTGAGATTTTTCACGACTTTTGTTGCAATATGTAAATAATTAAATTAACCAATTTACTTTCTCCTTTATCTTTTTCCATCGATAAATATATTTAAATTTATGTAATTAAATAATAAAAATATATGTACGTAAATTATTATTCTACTGTTAATATCATTAAACATAAAGAAGATATTATCATTCAAAAATCGTTTTTCTAATAAAACAATTAAAATATACCGCAACACATGAAAGCAGCAAACGTTAAGATTCTTTATTAAAAATTGTAAAGAATTTTTAATAATAAAAAATCTTTAACATTAACATTCTCATAAGTTCAAAAACTTAAATTTTTCGATTTGTTTTAGCTTGTCTTAAGTACCTTGACTTTAGATTTTTAATATTAATATATATATATATATATTATTCAATTCTATTTTATTTAACTGTTCAAATTCGATTTTTTTATTGTTTCCATTTTAAAACTTAAATCTGATAAAACAACTTTCTTTCGTCTTGACATAACGATGAGAAACAGCCACGTGACTGCGCGCGTACTCCTTGCAGATACGACTGACTATGTTGCGCGACTCTTTACGACGTTTCTGATAGCTAGAGATAGTGTCATCACAGGTGCGTACAGCTATCAATCTAATATGATTTGTTACAAAATTCTTGCGCTCAACAATATTTACGAATGTCTTACGATACTCAAACAATTTCCACGTGGACAGCCGTTACATCAAACGATCGCTGTGGAATGATAATATATATATCGCACTAATTATAATTTTTTTTAATTATTCAAGCAAACTAGTTTTTTGAAATATCGACAAATAACGAAAAGTTAGAAAGGCGATAATTATAGAGAATAATATTTTACACATATATATATCCATACTATTAAATTTTAAAGAAACAATAGTAATCAAACAATAGTAATTATTATGAGTTAAATATATAAACATGTTATTATTTTTAACTTCCATATATGTTAAAATGTAAAACAATTCATTTTTATAATTAGTTTTAAATTAAACAACGTTCATTAACATATGAATTTAATAAATAATAAACTAAATTTGACTCAAATTTAGTCTATTATTAATTAAGTTTATACATTAATATGGACGTTGCTATATATACGTATATACACTACTCAACAAAAAATAGGGAACACTTTCAAAATACTCAAAATTGCACAATTTTCGGATCATCAAAACTCGATCATGAAAAATCATCACAAGTAAAGGTAAAAAAGCATTTAAAATCTTGAAATATGTACTGACATGCTTTGGTTGTTTTTCAAAAAATTTTTATCTTTATAATTCTGAATTTTCATGAAGACCATATTATTTCTTAAAATTACGTACATTTTTAACACTTTAATTTGATAAACAATTCTTTCTCCAAAAGTTTAGTACTTTTACAAAAAAGTATAGTTTTACCTATAAAACTTTCTTTAAAAATTTTCTTAGTCAAATTAACTTTAAAGCTAAACCTGCATTTCCTACAATCAACGTTGAAATTCGACAAAGAAACATTGCAAAAATTTTTTATCCCCCTAATTTTACAGAATTAAATTTAAAATCGATCAAGAGCATGTTAAGTTAATATTTAAATGTTAAATTTTTTACGATTGTCAACAAATAATTGAGCAATAACATATTGAAAAATTAAATGTAAAAGAAAGTACCTTAAAATATCTTTGTTTTATAGTGATTAGGTTAAAATTTCAATTTTGTTTTGCAAAAAATATTTGTTGTGAATTCCATTGTGATCCTAAAATTTATTTATGGTATCATATTTTACATTTTATTAGAATATTTTTGAAAATTGTTTCAGATTTTTAAAAGTGGATATAATTTCTCATTTTTTTTTTATTTATTCAAAACTAAAAAATTGATATTTTATACTATTATATTTTTTTCACTAAAATTATCGTTATTACGTAAAAATAATAAAAAATTCTAAAAAATTTATGTCCATAAAAACTATATATTTTGTAATTTTAATTATAATACAAATGTAAAAAAAGAAAAATTTCTTAAAACGACTACTTCCAATATCTTGAATGCAAGGTATATAATATTTATTTTTTATACTTTTCATGATGATCATTTAAAAAAGCCTAAGTAATTTAGTTTTAGGTGAAACTCCTGACATGTGGAATATGTTAGATATACGTGGGTGGTTCAAGTCAAACTGGATTTTTATTCTTATGCTCATGAAAATAAAGGAGCAGTCACAATAGAAGGAATAAGGAATTAGGAATAAGAAATAAAGATTTCAACCTATAAGAAACCGTGTATTCCGATGTATCCGATATCTGATAGGTTGAAATCTTTATTCCTAATTCCTTATTCCTTCTATTGTGACTGCACATTAAAAGTCCCGGTTTGACTTGAATCACCCACGTACATATAATAATTTTTCGGTATTTTGTACGACAAAAACAAAATCATAAATCACACTTAAAAAATTTGGGAATATATTTGAAAATTACGAAGCATTATTATGTAAAAACGAAACTGCACTTTCACTAACAAGGAAAAACAATTCTCGTGCGTTACGCTGCGAGAAATCGAGATCGGAGAGCGCGCGCTTTTTGGAGGGAGCGAGTTGTCACAGGTAAGCATCATTCGATGATACTTCCACGCGCGTCACATGTCACGCGAAGTGCGTTACCTGTCAGATTGCAGCGTGCCTCAAAATCCTGATCGGATGCGTCTCGACGAGACGAGCAAAAGTCATCCGCGTATCACTCGAGTGATAACGAGACTACATCCATTGTACGCGCGCACACACATACGCACGCGCGAGCGCGTGTTTCTCGAACGTATCACGTGTACTCTCATCCGCGCGGTATAGCGCGTGTTCGTTCTTCGTTCACTTCTTTTTTTTCCCCGTTTCTTTTTCTCGGAACAAAATTCGCACGATCAAAATCGCACAATCGCTTCGGAGCGACCGCTTTCGGGCTACGAAGCGACAACACCGCCGTGAACCCGCGTTTCACGGCGATCCGGGTTCATGTGTACGCCCGTGCGTCGCGATTGTCCGCGATTCGTGACACACATACATACACGCGTGCACAGCACGCACGTATATACGCGTGCACACACGCGCACACACCAAACACTGTGTGAAACTCACACCGCGACGTCAGCGCCGTTGTACGTGCGTGATTCGCGACGCGTGCA